AGCTCAATATATATGTGCCAGGCAAAGTCATGATCTTTAGTTTGATAAACTCAGATCTGCAGGGATCTCTATATTTTAGATTTGCTATATATCTGATACATCTTCTCTGTAGGGCAAATACTCTGTACATGTGGGGAGAGTGGCCCCACGCCAGAAGGGCGTATGTCATTTTGCTATGGAAGTACCCATGGTAACTGGTCAACAGGACGTTTAGTGAAACTGAGTGTTTTAAATTGCGAATTAAATCAATTATGCTTGTTAGAGATTTGGTAACATGACTGATATGTTCATACCAGTTCAAGGAGGAGTCGATATAGACACCAAGAAACTTCACAACCTTTGCGTGGTCACCATTCTGATTGTTATTTCGAAGTGTGATTGTCAAGGGTTGAGATTTGTTTGAATTTAATGTTAATTTGTTAGCTATAAACCAATTCTGAATGCTAGATATACTGGCCGTCGTTTCGCTGTTGATGTTTGTAAATGAATCGTGGGCTGAGATCAGAGTGGTGTCATCAGCATAAAGAATGAGCTTACTGTTCATAGTATTAAGAAGACAATTTGGTAGGTCGTTTATATACAGTAAGAATAACAAAGGGCCAAGGACAGATCCTTGTGGCACGCCATGTAAAACTGTGCTGACTGACGATGTGCAGCCATTGTATTCGACGAGCTGTTGCCTTTGCTCTAAATAGGATTTTAGGAGGACTACAGCAGAAGGATCGATTGAGTAATACGGTAGCTTTGAAAGAAGTACATCATGCTGTACACAATCGAAGGCCTTGCTCAGATCGAAGAAATTTGCCTCTATATATTGCTTATTTTCAAATCCATTGTGTGCAATGTCAATAAAACTGTTTATTGCAGTAATCATTGATAAGCCTGTTCTAAAGCCATATTGATGAGAATTTAGGAAATTGTTGGATTCGAGATAATTGCTCAGTTGGTCCTTGAGTATAATTTCAAAGATTTTCGCGAAGTAGGGTACCAATGATATAGGACGGTGGTTCGAAACTTCGTCAACAGACCCGTCTTTATATATAGGAATTACCCTAGATATTTTTAGAGCTGCGGGGAAAATATTTGATTCTAAACACATATTGATTAGCTTAGTAAGCGGGTAAATAATTACGTTTAACATCGATTTCACAATTTTACTATTAAGTTTATATACGTCGGTGCTTTTAGAGTTTTTGATAGAATTAATCGCATCCCTAACTTCATTGTATGTAACATCACGAAAAGAAAATAGATTTTTTCTGCTATGATTATCCATATAGCTTAGCGGTGAAGTGCCATGTGACGGTAAGCTTTCTAAAAGGTTATTAACAACGGTGGTGAAAAATGAATTAAACTGGTTAGCGTTTAGTGTTGTGGTAATTTTTTTATCGACAGGAGCTGCATTGTCTTTTATAATACTCCACATCGCTTGCTGTTTATTATTCGATGAGTTTATATACAAATCGTGTGCATCTTGCTTACGTTTTACTATTTCAGCTCTGTACTTGGATTTCAGGCAATTTATTTCGGATTTAGTCATAGTTGATGAATCGATTTTGTGTAATTCTATCAAGAAAGTTAAGTGATCGCGCATGCCACGTAACTCATTGTCAAACCATTGGACTTGTTTCTGTTTATTTTGGAAAACGCGTGTTTTCTCTGGTAGACATTTACCCACTGCATCGATCACAACACGTATGAACAGCTCAAACTTCAACTCCACGTTTAGATTTGCATCATTTACAAACTGCCAGCCAGTGTGCCAGTGATACACAAGATGGAAAATTTACAACTCTCCACCTCCCACAGCTCCCAACCCCAAATTCCAACAACTCTCGAAATAAGCATAATCCTCTGAAACTGAAACTATTTTTTCCTATAGCTCCGTTGTTACTGTCACGATTCCCAAAAACTACAAAGCTTTTTCACCTTTGACATAGTAGTAATCTTGTGTCTATTAGCTACTGGTAACTGGATACTGTCAGTTACGGAAGTTTCTGACGGGACAGTCGAACAACTGCTTTGCGAATGCCCAGCTATTTTATAGATACTAGAATCTACTCTGTATGAGCGTAGGGTTTTTATGGCTAATGTTAATGGAAACTTCGCTACGCCTTAGCTTTCTTCAATACTTTGGGGTGGCTGATGAATCGTTTCTGAGTACTATTTGCCGATAAGAGCAAGACATAAAGCGTAGAACAAATTTAAGGCAACTGGCGAGGAAGTATTGTAATGGCAAAAAAAAATCGAGAATGAGATATTAGGTTTTTTTGGATGGTATACCACATGATTATTGCACAAAACCATGTCGCTCAATTTGGTCGATCTGTTTGTCTGTCTGTCGGTCTGTATGTCCGTTAATCCTTGGCCCGTCTATAACTGGGAAAGTACCTACTGGTCGAATTTGAATAAAATAAATAAATAAAATTTTCACACAAGGTTATTTCCATGGGCGAGACAGCTTTGTAGTTTTTGAAAGTCGATCCAGTGGCGTTGGAGAAAAAGACCAGAAACTAAATAAATAAAAACTTCCCAAACTTCGCTTTTTGACGAATCAGAAGATCATGATCATTTATTAAGACATTTAAGGGGTAAAAAATTGGGGGAAGTCGATTGAACGTGATTCATTTTTTCGCTAGTAGTATACAGGGTTATCCAAATTAAGTGTCCACCATTGGTAACTTTGTTATTAGTAAAAATACAAAGTTGTTTAAATTAGCAAACTAGTAGCATTTTTAACGCTGGTAAAAATGAGAAATAAAAAAAAACAATTGAGAGTCGTTATTTTGATTTTTTTCAGTAAAATAACATTTTTTTAAATGGAAACCCCTGTATATTATATTTTTTTCTGTTAAAGCATCAAATTTTAAACAAAAAAGTTCATAATGACTTTTCCGCTAAAGTCAAAAATAAAGTCAAAATAACGATAAATATTTTTAATTATTTGCAGTATTATAATATTAAGACGGCTATGAAAACAACATGGCGTTCGCGATTTGACAAAGCGACAAATTGTTAAACTGGACATACTCGCAACTAGAAGGCTTTGGAAAACAATGATAAAATCAAATAATGTCAAACATTAGTGTAAATACTTGTTTATAAGCTTTATTGTGTCATTAATTTAAAGAAAAATGTTCTCCCATGAAGAAAAGTGTGATATGTTAGAATGCTATTTAGTGTGCAGAAAATCCTCCTTGAGAGCAAGAGAATAAATACTACAGTGAATTATATCCCGCTCGCATTCAACCGTATGAACGATATTTTCTGAGACTTTATCGAAAATTTAGGGGCAACGAAAATGTTTTTGCTAAAACAAGGGCAAAAAAAGAATTCATAATAAAGCGAGGCCACGGAAATTGCAGTTATTGGATATTTTGAAGCTTATCGTGAGAATTCAATAGCAGATATTCTCAAGGACTCTAATTTCAGTTATGGTACTGTTCAAAGGATTTTAAAAAAATACAAATTTATTCCGTATAAGTACCGACCAGTTCAAACGCTTTTGGCAGGGGATCCAGAGAGAAGACTTGTTTTTTGCCATTGGTATCTTAGCTTCTGTCGCCAAAATGTAAATAACTTTCGTTACCTTTTATGGACAGATGAATAAAATTTTTCAAATTCTGGAATGTTTAATAGAAAAAACCACCATTATTGGTCAAGAGAAAATCTTTTGTTAGTACATCCAAGAGGCCCACAAGTCCGTTTCAGTTTCAACGTTTGGTGCGGTATAATTGGTTCAAAAATTGTTGGCCCGTTCTTTTATGAGGGAACCCTAACTGGTGAAAGATATGTGGAATTTATGTCAGAAATTCTGACTAATTTCTTAGACGAATTGGATCTTATAAGTAGACATCATCTGCATTTTCAGCAAGATGGCGCACCTGCCCACAACTCCAGAGGTACTTATCATTTTCTAAGTACTACTTTTAATGATCAATACAGTGGCCTCCCAGATCACCAGATCTAAACCCACTTGATTACTTCTTGTGGGATTACTTAAAGAACCAAATTTACAAGCGAGGGTACGATAACCTTGACGCGTTAAAGACTGCAGTTAGGGAAAAGATAACCCAGATAGATGGTAGGACCATACTTAAGACAGTTCGAGCAGTTGAAAAACGTGCCCAAAAATGTATTGAAGAACAAGGTGGTGTTTTCGAGCATCGTCTTAAAAAAAAATTGTTATTGTATTTTGTAAGATTATAAGTTGATGTTGAAAATAAAGTTTGTCGATACAATTTAATTGTTTCAGATTGGAGGCCATAACTTCAACAATTTGTAACCTAGGAGAAAAGTTATTGTAAGCTTTTTTGTTTAAAATTTGATGCTTTAACAGAAAAAAATATAATATACAGGGGTTTCCATTTAAAAAAATGTTATTTTACTGAAAAAAATCAAAATAACGACTCTCAATTGTTTTTTTTTATTTCTCATTTTTAACAGCGTTAAAAATGCTACTAGTTTGCTAATTCAAACAACTTTGTATTTTCACTAATAACAAAGTTACTAATGGTGGACACTTAATTTGGATAACCCTGTATAGTGTATACACTCCCAAACTCGGTAGGTCTATTAGACAAATTCCACACATCATAGATTTTCCCGTTGCAACGAAAGAATCTTTATGGGCCAATTGTGTGGGCCTATCTGACTAACTTGATCCGTTTGATTTCTCTGTTATACATGTTCGTAACTAACTTTTTTCTCAGTGGGTCGTCTTATGATGGACATAAACGTTTATGACCTGATGACCGTATTGCGTGGAAAGTGCAGAGTCATCCTACTTGACGATATTTTTATAAAAGAAACACGTGCAGACTAGACTGTAATTTGGGGTCCACTTAGCAACACATTCGCTCAGGGCACCAAAAACTATTGAGCCGGCCCTGCTGGAGAAAAGGTAGAAGAGCGTTGTGATCTTGACTGATTACCATTAATACAGAATACAGTTTGTCCACTTCTTTAATATAATGTTATCATATATTAAGGCCTCATACCTGATTATGTCAAGATGTTCAATAACAAGGCTTCTAAGGACGGTTTTAGGACTTTTCGTTCGGCACAACTCTTCGAACCTTTCAAACTTCTTACCCAGTACTTTCAGCCGAAGGACAATAAATATCGCCAGGCCATTGAAAAGGGTGTCGAAACATGTAATAAATACAGCTGCCAGTACGCCGTTCCATACTTGATAAACAATTGCAAAACCAAAACAGTTTTCGAGAACGTAACCGGGAAAGTAGCCAGAAAACACCAACATATGATTAGCACTCATTTCCTGTAAGCCGAGAGTATAAAATCTGTAATATAGGCAAATACGTATTCAAGGGATAATTCTGACTATTCTAATACTATTAGTAGTGTGACAAACTACAGCTTCGCTAGACAAATTTTAACAATAATAACCAACTAAGACCTCACACGGTAATCGTCATGGAAAACGATTAACTCAGTTAGATCTCCAGGGACTGACTAGCCCTAATGCAGCATTGCTAATTTTATCATACCGTATAATAATGTCTCAAAAATGATACTTTTGGAAAGCCTAAAAAATTTATCTTTTCTCATTGTAATAGAATGAGGCATTTTGAGGACCAACAGTCATTGAGCTTGTGCCAACATTCCAGTTCCACACTACACGCGTGACTATTTGCGTGTGTCTGGCAAAACATCAAATGCTGCAGAATGTTTTTTTACTATCTTATGAATCTCTTATTTACCTTAAAGCTAAGTGCTTCTAGAATGATAAACGGTAAAATTGTTATGAATCCAGCAATTCCAAGAAAGGTGAATATCTTGTAGTTGTACGAAGTAACGTCCAAATGAATGGCCTTTGTTTTCTCATCTTCACCAAATGTCTCTTCAATACTAGGAATCACACCCACTAAATCTTTGATAGAGAAGACATATTCTTATAATCAAGTGATAATAAGGTCAATCTGACTATGCGTGATGCTAATTTTAATAGAAACATTAAAAATCTTAAGAATGTCAAAAAACGTACTATTACTATCTATGGCATTCAAAGCAACATATGCGGATTGAGTAATGTCCATCTAAGACACTGGTTTGGTGGTAAACATTATGTACGATGACAAAAAATGAGCTACTTGAGAAACATAAAATGCAAACTTTTGGATCAATCTAGTGCTAAAAAAGAATAATTGTAATCGCAAAAAGTTTCGGAATTGAACTGAAATTTTTGATGTTACGCCACGAAGAATCATAAGACTCATTTCCGTTGGTGTATCTGTCTGACGACTGAAGTCTGTCCCGTTATCCTTGGTTCTACATATAACTCGGCACGTACTGCTGAGATTTTGGTGTAATTTTAACAAAAAAATATTACCATATCAAGGACCAAAAGGCCTTATACGCGAAAAACTATTAACTGCTTTACGTCCCCCATTCTACATCCGTCGGTGTTTTGAGTTCCTGGTGATTTTTGACCTCAGCAAAGAATTTTGTAGAAAGCTCTCGAAAAACCACATCGGTTTCTGACGGCTTCCAAACTTCTGGTCACATAGAGAATAAATCTTATTGAAGCGCTCAAAATTGCTTAATCTAGAAATTTCACATACTTCAATAATCACCGCAACTGCTGGAAATATTGATCGTGATACTTTTTTCTCTTATAATTTCATCACAATGGCACCGACTTTTATTGCAGCATTACCTAATATTATCCTATGTCATAACAAACTATAAGTTTCATTAAAATCCGCGCTACAACCATTGATAGACAGATCAGCGGACAGGTAGACAAACTGATACCTTTTTCATTTCATTTTTTACTGGTACTTTTCATCTTACCATTGACCTTGACTGAACGAGACAGTGCCATTTTCCACAGACAAAAAATGTAAACCAGGAGAAATTGTAGGTGACCATTCAATTTACGACTATCATCCAAAACATCTTTGATGCCTATAGTCATGGACAATGTGAACAATGCGAAAGTACTTTGTAAGCACATGCCATAAGCTTTATACAATGTGGTTAGCACTCTGTTGGACATGTCCTTTTGATGCAAGCAACCAGTCATGACCATTAGTATCTTGGTGTATTTCAGAAATATGACGTTTTTATCCATCAGATCTGTACGTTGTCAAGTTCTAAATTTTGTACTTTGGAGAGCCAAAAACGACCTGAAAACATTAATGTTAAGAACGTTTCCGTATCCCAGATTCAGCAAGTATATACATAAAGCATAAATACGTTATTTTTAGCTCTTGGTTAAATGATTAAAAAAATTGTGTGTACAACTAGTTGTAATATAGTACCGCATCGGCAGCATTAGCCCGGTCGGACAAATAACCTAAGCAGAGCATAATAGATTCTATCAGAGGTAGGCAGTTGATAAAAATATAATTAATCCCTTATGTTTGTCTGACCAAATGAAACCACATATGTGTTTGAAATTCATCTTTATCGTACGATCTTTCGGTCCCAACGGTGACCTTTTCCAAGTACAAATGACACCTTTGACAATATATTTTTTTATATGTCTTCCAGGTCGCACTTCGTTTGTTATTTCTCTCATATACAGTGTGCTACTAGAATAGTTTGTGAGGAGGTGTTAGTTAGGTTGGCTGTCCTTGGGGAACAGAATACCTACCCCAGGCGGTCCGGAGCTATACTGGCTTTGTGCGGTGCCATTTTAAAGTTGCAACCTCAGAATTTTAGAGGACTCATCAGACTACTGCAGTAACACACTGTATAGGAATGTGTAAGTATCACCAGATAAATAAAATGTACTGTCAAAAGTGTCAATTGTACTTAAAAAAGGTCACCGCTGGGACCAAAATATCGTACATTTAAGACGAATTTTAAACATACAAGTACATGTGTTTTGATTTGTCTAGACAGAAGTGAGGAATTATCAACATGGATACGTTTCAAATATCACATTAAAAATATGACTGTCACAGTGGCTGATTCTGCTAGTAGATTCCACTCATATTTCTGCAAAATTTCTGTTAATTCCACGTCATATCTGTTGATTCTAGGCTGAAAATCGTAGTTACTGGTTATAATCTCAGCGTTAGCCTTCAGAAAATGTATTAGTTTTTAGTCTCAAGGGCCTCTTGGAACTTCAAATCATATGCAGCCATTCTAACTTTCACCAACTATAACTTAGTTTATCAAAGTGTTGCACAAGTCAACTTGCCTCAAAGCTACGGCGTTTGAATATCCGTGTTATATAATAAGTTTTGGAAATTATTCCCCTTGCAAAACTCCCACAACGATAGAGATACAGTAACACCTCACCTATATGTAGGTTCAGCTTTATATCCACACTGAGCGGATCCACTGGACGTCAAAATTTATGGTCAGTCCTCGGCTATTGTACAAACCACAAGAAAATCACTAGCTAAACAAAACTTAACTAGGTCGCTTTTTCATATTCAAACAATTCGATATAATTACGCCTTCCAGAGGTGACTTCCTTCAGATATACATATTTTTCTCACTTCAATATAATATATGCGACTCTTTTATAGTGGTCAAAATTTTATAAGGGACGTCGTAATAAATCATTTCATATGGATAAATACCATCTCCTTTGTTATCCTAACTGCTTGTTTCTTCCAAGTGAAAATGCAAATAATGGTCCATACCCACTAAGACAAAGCGAAGCGAAGAAAACAAAATCAGAATGTTTCTGCTGGGCTCTTTTACGCATAACCAAATGAGAGAACGCGAACTGCAAGATGCGAAACGAAGTTTGTTTTAAAAATATGCGATTCTAATGGAGACAGGAAGCTGGGTGTGAATGATTAAATTTCTTGAATGTCGGTCACACTCTGCTTCTCGCACTTGTGTCCTTTCATAACCTTTTCCATAAGGTTTTGTTCTTCAAAAATAAATCCAACGACTTTGATTGATGATCTTGAATCGAAACTTCCGGAATCGATCCCATCGACATGACCGGATTAACTACACAGCGTCAACGACGTAATACTATAGCTCTTGGTTCACACTATATGTTTTAATCGGTGGTCTGTGTCAAAAAGGGTGGTCTGGTATCTCCTACATGTGACTGTTCTCAATTTCGTTATGCATTATGATCAAATTTTGACCTTGCGCTGCCTAAACGTAGATTAATTTTGACACGACAGAGCATTTCTGTTTTACCTCTTGGAATTTTCAACACGTTGCCAATAGAGTCAATGAAGGTTTTTTTTATGTAACGCTTATGCTCGGTGACGAATAGCAGAATCATTTTTTTATTTTGATTTTCTTCTTGATTTGTACAAAATACAAATGACTTCCATGGAACGCTTGCGTCATGTTGCTTCCATACCTGTCATGCGATTCAGTGCTATGGTTCTCAAGAAAATTTAATTTATGTGGAGGAGAATTTTTTTGGCATAAATTATAGCGCCTACTGATTATAGAGGTATTTTCTAAAAAAGAAAAGAAAATGTTGGCTTGTTATGAATGGACCATCCTGTATGTCGTACGATTAGGTAGTGATTTTTGTTTAAGTTTGTAATGATTTAGACTATTTTTTGGCTTCCACTCATTATGTATGAATATTTAAAGTAAATCTTCCGTATAAATATCAATAAAAAAGCTTTATAACTACCATATAATAACTGTTACACCTACCATATACCAAAATGAAGTGAATAACAATACTCTTTGTTGGGTGTTAACAAAAATTTATTCATTTATCTATGGAATATGAAATTAAGTGTGACGGTGCTTCCCACGACTACGGCGAGACAGTATTGTAATCGTGATAATTTTTGAAAATAAGATATGTTTTTTGAATGTTACATGACATGTTCATCACGTTTGTCGGTCGGTTGGTCTGTCTCCAAATCCTTGGTCCCTCTATAACTTGGAAAATACTGCTCGGATTTCGATGAAATTTTCACATAAGGTTACTACTGTGCCAAGGGCAAAAACACTTTCGAACAAAAAAAAAAACGTTTTTATAGAATCATTTCCGAAAACATTGTTAGGGGAAAAAATTAAGGGTGGGGTTGTAGAGGGAGGGAGAGCGTGTATAGCAATTTTTTGTCGTTTGTATATTCATACGCTTTGAATCTTTCGTTGCACTTATTAGAGATATTTGGAAAATATTTTTAGCAGACGAATCGCATACCTATCGGCCGCACTTGACGTGCGACAGGGGATGTCAAATAATCCATCTTTGGTAGTGAAGCCAAGGGACTTCAAAAAGCAGGTAGCAGACGGCGCATTATACCATACTTGGAGTGTAATATAATTAGGTTACTTGAGTTCGCGACCTTTTGAATTTAAACGAATTCATACGAAATTTGTCTAGAGGTTCGTTTCCATCACAGCAAATTGACCCATCAAGTATCAATACGTGTGCCAAAAATGGAAACATGTTGCGGCCCAAGCGCCGGGGACAAAACTGCACCGAGTGACTGCGGCATGTAACTTGTGTTAGGTTAGCAATATGTG